AGTCCAGCCTCATTCTCCTAGTAGGTGGTAGCCTACTGGATCTACACTGAATCTTCAGAATAGCAACAACAAGTCTGTGGTCACAATTCACAAACTGGGCACTTCTGTAGACCCTACAGCTCTGCAGGAGCCTCCAGTGTCTGCCCTGGAGGGTGTTGGAACCAAGATCCAGCGACCTGCAGCTCCTGACCTTTCGCAAAGTCAAGGAACATGGAGCCACTTTCACCACGGTCTCCAGACCCATGGCGACCGACACAATAATCATAGCCAGCTCTGTCAGTGCCAGTGGTCGCATTGAAGTCACCCATGACCAGAGGAGTGTCACCACATGGGCACCCTTCAACCACAGAGCGAAGTTGCAAGTAAAAGGTCTCCCTCACCGAGACATCACTCACCGCGGTCAGAGCATACACTGAGACAACAGACAAGACACTCAAGGAGCACCTTAGCCTGAGTCTCATAATACGCTCATTGAAAGGAATGACTAAACGAACAGAGGAGCCGATCCGGTACAGAAACAGCTACTCCCTGAGTATGGCAGCCATCAGAGTGACCAGACCAAACAGACCACCTACAGAGATCTGACCACTCCCTGGTCTGCGTACCTCAGAGCGTGTTTTCCTGCAAGTTGGAAGACCGCTTGCAGGGCCGGATGCAGTTTAACGTCATACCCAGGACCCATATGGGAATAACCGTAATCCCAACATGATGACCTTAACCCCTACGCAGCCCTAACCTTAACCATAAGTAGCCAAACAAATTATGAGACTTTTGGCATTTTTACTTTTTTGATTGCATTCACGGATCTTTGTGGGGACCTGACAAATGGTCCCCACAACATCAAAATAACAGGTTTCTATTAAATTGCAGGGGACCTTTGGTCCTCACAATGTTATATAAATATAATACACACACACACACACACACACACACACACACAGACACACAGACACCAGAGACAGGATTCAAACCCTCAGCTCAGGAAGTGTAACACCACATAACCGCCCACACAAGTGATGTCTTGTTAAGAAAAACCTCGGCAGCAGAGTCATAAGTAGTAAGTTACTCTGCAGAACAGCAGCTACCTGCCATGTCTTCGCTCGTCACCACGCCTCACTGATAATGAGCAGCACTCCTGTATGTAGAAAGCAGAGCTTTCATCATCATTAATTCAGAGCGAGAGCCATAAGGACGTATCCGAGGTAGAGTCACGACAAGCTTGCAGCCTGGCTAGGAAACACTGGGCAGGATAGCAGTGCATCACACTGAGGGCGTTTTGAAGGCACCAGGAAGGAAGCGGGAGCACGCAGAGGGGCCTGCAGTCCCCTCACAGAGAGCTGGAACTGGAACTGAAGCCCCAGCACAATCCACGAAAGATTGGCAGCACCTGGGCCAAAATAACAGTGATGCATTACCACTGATTGCTATTTTCATATGTATAGGTTTCGTACAGACTGTCCCCGATTTAACACTGGGTTCTCTTCTGAGAGACGGGTTGTACAACGAAATGAACTTTTGTCGGAGTAGGATTTTTGATGTGAGAATGACACTGGGAGATGTGTGTGAGGCAGGGATGATTGTACTGCAATACAGCACAGTACTTTCTTGTGCCTATCATATAATGCACAGTGCACATTTGGTAGTGCAGTGCATGGTGGCGCAGTGGTCGCACTGTTGCCTCCCCGTGTGTGGAGTTTGCATGTTCTCCCCGTGTCCTTGTGGGGTTTCCACCAGGTACTCTGGTTTCCCCCCACAGTTTAAAAACATGCTGAGGTGAATTGGAGTTACCAAATTGTCCTTAGGTATGAATGTGTGAGTGAATGGTGAGTGAGTGTGCTCTGTGATGGGTTGGTGCCCCATCCTGGGTTGTTCCCTGTGTTGTGCTTGTAGACTCCAGACCCCCCGTGACCCTGAATAGGACAAGTAGGTACAGAAAATGGATTGATTTCTTGAATATTTCCATTTATGGTGGATGTTTATATTTTAAATCATTACCTACTGTTCTATTGATTTTTGTTTTCATTTTCTTTTTGTGCAGGAGTAAACAAACAAAGACAATTTCATCGTGTAGCCACTGCACATATGACAATAAATTGCTTGAATGTTGAATCTTAAGAGCAAAACAAGATGTTCTGGACTCATGGGTCACACCTCATGCTTTTGACCGTTTGGGACATGTAGGGTCATGGGCATTTCAGAATCCTACAATTTTATTGTTTTTTTTGTTTCGCTGAATAAGACAATGTTGGGAAACGGGTTAGTGGAGAGAGAACAGAAGATGGGACCTGTTCTACTGTGTCATCACGATGGCCGGGCAGAGTTAGAGGAGGTAAACAGTTTATGTCGGAATGCTTACCAAGCACAGGACCGCGCCAGAGCTCGCTCTGTCCCCACGGCCAGATGAGAGCCTGCTTCTTCTGCTTTAACCCCACGACACCACCATCCTTACCAGTTTGCTGGGTAGAAGGGCGACTGAGGGTTCCATTCACATTGCCGTTATGGGACGCGTCCCAACTAATCCAGACCAAATTGTGCATAAGTGCCCAACCAGACAGAGATGCCTCGCTGGAGAGGTCGTCAGTCGGATGCCAATTAATTGACTCGTGTTTATTTCAGTTGTTAATTACCCACAGGCCACGTATATGGGTAGGTAACACTCTGTTCTATTGTCACCCAGGAATCCACTTATGAGTATATTAAATGTCCTGTGCAGAAATTAGAGAGGGAGAGACTTGTCTTTCTAAAAAGCAAAATGTTGATTCTGAGTGGTAAGAAGCTGGTCATCTTAAAGGCAAACAAGAGAGATCGTCTTTTACCGAGCGTTGATTTGATGTGCCTAAATGTGGATGTGGATGTAAAACATACAGGATAACCTCTGACCTTTTGGACAAGTGTATAAATGGTGTCCAAAGGTAATCTTATCTCAGTGTCTTAATACCGACCATTTGTGTATATTCTTACTCAGTGTATCCAAGCATCACATTACACTCAAAGTCCATTACAGGAAAGTCATCAACTTACAAACACATCACTGGGCACTGTATACCTTACCTAAAATGGAGGCAGACTGGATGGATTTGTTTTTCTCTCTCAAGGGTAGATGGTACTTAAGTACGAAGGCTATAACCTATAATGGGACGGTATGCTGACACTGATGGGGGGAAGCTAAGTGCAGAATGGACTCCCTCCACTAGGTGGCGCACTTGGGAAAGTCATGGTGAGAACATGACCCTGGATTTGACATGTCAGAATCTCCCAGCCCACAGTTGCTCCTGTCAAGGTCTCCCACCCTAGCCTCCCTAATACCCCCCCAAACCCTGCTTGGTCCCTGCTGCACACTACTGCTTGTGTAAGATGGCTATCTAGCATTATGAGAGAGGCCATCACGAGTTGAGTTTGTAGAACAGAGAATAATATTTGTTTTCCCACAAGCTTAGAGGATCCAGGAAAGGAGCCGTTTGTGAGTGCAGGCGTGACCCGCTGGCATGATGCTAATTACCGGCCTGAGTGTGTGATGGATGATGGCTGTTTGTCAGGAACTGCCGCCAAACGAGTGCTTCTTCCGAGGACAAGGGAGGCAATGCAGACGCCCAAATGAATTTTCATCCACACAGTCTTTAATTTGTAAATAATAAAAATGAACTCTTTTAATATAAAACATACACATCATTTGAGCCACATCTGTTATACAAACAAGAAATGCTGCAGTGATTTTTTTTTTATATCTTTTCTATCATTATTTCAGTGGAACACGTAGATTGTAAACAATCGGCATTTTTCAGCAATACTGAAAAAGTAAAGAAATCAGTCTCACCGGACAAGAAAAGTAAACTTTATTAAATATGTTTACATGACATGAGTTTGGAGTTGGGGTTAAAAGTATGGTGGGGGGGTGAGTTTGACTACTGCTCTTGAGTAGAGAGGTACTTGTTAAAGTCAAGCCAGTGCTGAGTTCGTATATTGTCAGACGAAGGTGATGATGTCTCTATGCATCCCATAATGCACTAGAGCCTGCTTGGGGGTCACAGAGGGCCAGACTTTGCCCCCCCCCCACCTGACCTGCTTGCCAACCTTGCGGTTGTTTCGAAATTACAATTCGTGGCTATAGATGTGTGCACCCGTCTGTGTCCTTATATATTTTTTCTATATATCTATATATAGAAATATTTAGTTATAGCTTCTTTATAATTATGTCATAATTATACTTCATAAATGATCTAGTTCAATTTTATACATATTTTCAACTTCAGTCCCAGTCCCAGTAAAATTATGGTGTGCACCAATGTATTCAACAAAAGGGGGCGCTCTCGGCTACCACAGCCTCTCCTGCCCCCACCCTCCCACCCCGCAAAGGGCAGAAAAACAAGAGAAGGACCTAAAAAAAAAGACACGTTCGTTTAGACATTCAGCATCAGAATGAGAAAACGGTGCGGGGTCGAGCCAAACGTCTACACATGGATGGCTTTGTTTCATCTGTAATCTCCTTATATTAAGTACGAGCAAACTGTACAGGTGCATGCAACATACAAGCTGACCTACGGTATGTGCAACTAACACACACATCTATTTCAATTACTTCTTTTTTTTCGTCTGCTTTTTTGTTTTACAAAATGTGCATGCAGCTTGGAACAGTTCCACAGTCATGCTGCTCCTCCTTCCACCCCGTGCCCCCCCCCCCCCCCCCCCCCCCCCCCCCCCCCCCCGCGGGGGGGGGGGGGGGGGGGGGGGGGGGGGGGGG